GCCCCCTCCCGGCTGCAGGCGGAGGTGGAGCAGAAGAAGAAGCGAACCTTCCGCAAATTCACCTACAGAGGCGTGGACCTGGACCAGCTCCTCGACATGTCCTAGTAAGAGCCGTCGGCGGGGCCTGGCCCCGCGCTCGGGCCGCGGTTAAAAAAACCCAAACAAACCCCCGAAACAAACCGAAACCGGGTTTGGGTGGTTTTGCAGTTTGGTGTCTGGGCTCTTGGAGGCCCCAGAGTGGGGACGGCGGCCCCGGGGGGAGTCTCCAGGCGCTCAGTCTCTCCGTCCCCCCGCAGCGAGCAGCTGATGCAGCTCTACAGCGCCCGGCAGCGCCGGCGCCTCAACCGCGGCCTCCGCCGCAAGCAGCACTCGCTGCTGAAGCGGCTGCGCAAGGCCAAGAAGGAGGCACCGCCCATGGAGAAGCCGGAGGTGGTGAAAACCCACCTGCGGGACATGATCATCCTCCCCGAGATGGTGGGCAGCATGGTCGGCGTCTACAACGGCAAAACCTTCAACCAGGTGGAGATCAAGGTGAGGCGGCACAGCAGGGCCCAGCTCAGCGGCCTGAGGGCCTCTGCGTTCGTTTTTTCACGTTTTCCTGCTCCTGCCCTGTGGCTGAGCGGGAGGTCGAGGCTCCTTCTTGGGGCAAAGCTGGTGTTGTGGGACGACCAGAAGTGTCTGAAGTGTCCCAGAGACACCCAAAAGAGTCCCAGGGACATCCAAAAGTGTCCGAAATGCTCCAGGGCTGCCCAGAAGTGTCCCAGGGACACCCAAAAATGTCCCAGGGACATCCAAAAGTGTCTGAAGTGTCCCAGGGATTCTGGAAAGGGTCTGCTGTGTCCAAGGGAGGCCCAGAAGTGTCTGAGGGATGCACAGAAGTGTCCCAGAGACATCTGAAAGCATCCATAGTGTCCCAAGGGATGTCCAGATATGTCCCAAGTGCCCCAGGGACGCCCAAAAGTGTCCCAAGTGTCCGAGGGACACCAAAAAGAATCTGTCCTGAGGACGGGCTCATCTCAGGGGAGTCTCGAGGCTTCACTGCAGAGTGGAGAGGAGTAACGTGGTCGTGAGCGTGGGGGGGGCCCGGCGCTGGCTCCCTGCCCATGGGCACCCGATGAAACGGATCCATGAGGTTTCCTGGGAGTGGAATAACCCGCAGGGGGGGGGTGTCGGGGGTGTGGTGGTGACCTGATACCTCTGCCAGGATCAAATGGTTATTCGCTGTGGTAAACGCAACCAGGGCACCAAAAAGCCCCCAAGGCTGGTGCGTCCCCTCTTCCAGGTGCTTGGGAGCTCCTGGGGGGGCAGAGGAACCCCCTGGTCCCCCTGAACCCCCCCAAGCTCCGCATGACGCCGCCAGGGCCTGCACCCACGTGGGGACCGGGGTTTGTAACTGGGGGCTCTGGGAGGCCGGTGGCTGGTGGCCCTGGGTCACCCCCTCCATCGTGGGTCTCTTCCAGCCTGAGATGATCGGCCACTACCTGGGGGAATTCTCCATCACCTACAAGCCGGTGAAGCACGGCCGGCCCGGCATCGGCGCCACCCACTCCTCCAGGTTCATTCCGCTCAAGTAACGCAGGAGCCTTTTCCACCTGTAAATAAAGAAATTTCTGCCACCTGCCTCGTGGCCAAGCGGTTTGTGGGGCTGCGGGCTGGGCCGGGGCACGGGCGAGCAAAGCTGCTGTCTTCACCGTTCCCGAAGAGTTCCTCTTTTTTTTAATCACGTTTTTCAGCCAACACTTGTTTTCAGTGGGGTTTATTAATTAATGAAATTCCTTATCCTTCGATGGGAAGCGAATGGCACGTCCCTATTCTTGGTGGCGCTTTGTCTGTTTGATTTAATTTGTGGCGTTTCAGGCGCCGCTGGGAGCGCAATGACGCGCCAGCTCGCTGCGAGCTTAACCCATGGAGAAATGGGGGGTGGGGGGTTGTTGGGGGGTTCAGGGCCAGCCCCTCTCCTGGGGGAAGTGGCCGAGGATGTGTCCCAGGATGCCGAGACCCCAAACGATTAATTTT